AAAAAAAAAAAGCAACTATATTGTATGGTTGAGTTTTTAAAGAAGGATGTTTATTTACTGCAGGATTTTGTTCTTTATTGCATTGGAAATCCCAATCTTAATAGTAAAGACTGGGATGCAATTTCATAGGCACTAACAACCTGATATACATTTTTTATCAATCAACCTGATATGCAATCTGAACCTCAATTATTTCCAGCAGTTTGTGTAGATTATAACTTCTCCCTAAGGAGTGCATCCTAATTTTATTGCTCCCTGTAATGATCACAAATCTCTCATGAATATTTCTAATGGAAATACATGGTAATTGTCCATCATTGTGTATATTATCCTTGTATGCTAAAGTATAAGTTGAATTCATATATCAATTATGCTCATATGGGATTCTTATGGAAGCTTTTTGAGCAACTGTTTTGCTTTATTTGTTGTGAGTTCACTTCATATCTTTAACAATGTGAATGGACTCTTTCAGGAATCATATGTTGCCCTTGAGAAGGCAATTAGATCACTGGCCAGCTTCTACTCAAACGCAGGTCCATCTGCTCCATTACCTGAAGAGGTGAAGTCAGAAATTTTGGATGATTTAAACACTGCAGAGGCAGTTTTGTAATAGAAGTCATCTCCTCTGGTTTTTTTGATGTATATCACATATGTGCTATGGGAAAAAAAGGAAAAAATTTGTCTTTCATTCTTAGCATAAGGGAAATTAATCATGAATTTCCTATCATTCCCTTTACTCAAGTAAAACTAAGCATGCCCCTGCATTTAAACTCATAAATCTGATATCTGAACATTAGGTAATGGTGCACCCCTGGACATCACATCTGCATGAAACTGATCTTAGTTGATGTGCTGCCTCCATACAAGGTAAATGATTGTCAGATGCAGTTACAAACAAGAAACTAAATAGATTTTCACTGGAGCAAAGAAGCTGCACCCGCATGTTCCCATTTTCATGGACCACCAGCTATACCTGTAAGATGGTAAACTAAAAATTAGTTCAAATTCTAAACGAAATCTATAATATAATAATATGTCAGAGCTATACCTGTATATTTTTCATGGTTTTCTTTTATTCTTTTTTTATTAAAAACATCACATTATGCAAGAAAGTTGCAGGTAAGTGAAAGTGACCTTCTAACGCAAAATTCTATGGTTTTGACCAAATCTTAGCATCATCTGAAATGCTTAGAGATTGAGAACATATGTCTTAGATCAGTATAACACTAAGGTCTCTTGGTTGTTGATCTAGTCCATCTGGAATCAAAGGCTTTATAAATGTAAGGGCAGATAAGGTTTCAGTTCAATCAAGGGCTAAGAAACAGGGTATTTTGATTTAGGGGGTTTAGTCATTTAATCATCTTCTTGGTGAGAAGCTGGTCTCCATTGGTAAAGTAAAATGGATTAAGAGGGAAAAGGAGCATGAAAAATGTAAAGAGAAGGCTAATAAATACTTGGGCCCATGAGTGATCCCTTTTTTCAGAGATAATGTTCTAGGGTAAATTGATTGCAAAGCCTGTGGAGAAGGTCTTGGGATGAATAAAAACCCAACCCAAGGGGGATGTTGCTGGATAAGGCAGGTACTTGACATTGGAATTCCATGCTCAGCAGTAAGAGTTCTAGCTCTGTTTCTGTACTTACAATCTTTGCTTATAATAAAACAATTAAAAAAAAAAAAACATTGGATTCATAGATTGCTAGCTTATATAGACTATTAGAATTGAAAGGTCTACCTTGAAAGATGTTTTGCCTTTGAATTCTTTGGGAGCAAGGTCAAAGAAGGATCTAGGGATATGCTGGTATATTCTAGATGTAAGAAGAAAATGAATGTGGGTTTTGGAGATGTCAGGAAAAAATGCAATGATCCCAAAGATTTTGAGGCCCTAACTTATCAGGATATTTCTGTGTATCAGGGTCAAAGCAATGGTTCATAGCCACAAAATTTAGGACAATACTCAGACAGAGTGATAAGGATCGATCTTGAGGATGATAATTTTGCCACACTAAATGAGTCAGTGGAGCTAAGTAAAATGTTTTGACTTTGTTCCTTAGTAGGAGACACAGTAGCTAAGGAATATTTAAAAAATGTTAAAAGATAGGGGAAAACTGGGCCAAGCAAACCAAGAGTACATCCGGCCTCTCTTGAAATTGGAGAATCAAATTGTTGAAGCTCAAAATAATGGAGAATATGAAGAAGTCAATGCAAGCAAGGTAGAATGATATTAGTTGAATTTTGCTGTCTATGGAACCATGGTAGAATTGGAAGGTTCAGTCAGCCTGGAGAAAAGGAGAAAGGGGAGAGGTAGATTAAAAGTTAAAGCTAGAGGAAGGGATAGAGAATTCAGAGACAGAAATCTTGCTGTCAGTGATTGTTGAAGTTACAAGTCTTGGGTTAGGAGATTTTGGGTGGTCAAAATGTGGTAGAGAGCTTGGTATGCTGCTGGCTGGTGTTGAGAGAGATTTTGCATGGTTCTCACTTCTCAGTATGCTGCTGACTGGTCGTTAGAGGGTTTGGGATCCCGGGTTTGTGGTTCTGGATTTTAGATTTTAAGCTCATGCTCTTAACTGATTGTTATTGAACTTTATGGGTATTTGCGCATGGACTTTTTTATATGTCTGAGGCGTTTCAGGTCTTCTTTAGGGATTGAGAGTTGGAGGTTTTTTTCATACTTTTTTCCTTGCTCTCTTAGTTTTTGTGGATACAGTAATACACCTTGCATGTATATTTTTATACATAATACAGTATGCATTAAAATAATTTGATTTGATTTTACTTTTATTTGATTTGTTTTCCTTCTCATGATATCTTCCCAACCAAACATGGTCCCACATGCAAGGAAAATTGAATATCTAATCAAAATATTCACTAATTCATTATGGTCAATTGCATTGCATATTTGTGTCATATCAGCCTTTAGTGTTTTCACCTAGAAATTTTACTCCTTGTTAGATACCTTTATTGGAGTCTTAAAGAAGAATAAAGAAAACATCATGCAGTGTATTGCAGTAGGATGGACTAGTCAACATTTTTTCTATCACTGCAATACCATAATAAGCTAATGTATTGCAGTGTGGAAGGTAAAACAATGGTCTTCCAGGTAATGGTTTAGTTCTTGAACTCAATAAACAGTTCATGGGGATTCTTGCATTTCTTGAATAAATTTGTGTTTACTTTTTAATTTCTCTTGGCTTAGGTCCTCTTTGGTCTTTGCCTTTGGACCTCAGCATCCTCTCATATTGGACTTCATTCTTTTTATCGAATTCTCCTTTATCAACTGAAAGGGGGGGGAGGGGGTACAATAGATGGTTATTCTATTTTGGGAATTTTGTAAAAAAAGGCCTCACCCAATGTTGGGTCCCAGCTATCCATGGTCTTGGGAGGGGTGGGTTGGACATGAACCTAATATCTAGTATTTTAGCATGGAATGATCACTCAGACTCAAACTGACATTCTCACATTTAACAGCCGATAACTTACCAACTTACCAAGCAATGGCCCCTTATTTTTGGGAAATTCGTCTTAATAGATGGTCCTAAACAAGGCCTATCATTGGTGATTGTCCTTTGTTTATAAAGTTATAGGTAGTGGTCATGACTTGTTTTACATTTTCCCTTTTATGATGATTAATTCATTCTAAAATCATGTAGGGAAATGCTTAATCTGCTATAACCTCCAATTTATCCATTGTAGCTTTTTTTTCTATATTTTCTTCTTTGTGTGCATGTATTTATTTGTTTACTGAACAAGGTCATTTGTGCATCAGTCAGATGATTGTCTTCATAAATTTCCATCTAAGGATCAATCATCCATGAGAGGGAAAAAAAAGTAAAGATGTTGTTAATAGTATTAGAGTTCGGTTATGAAGTGAAGAGATGCATCTTATGTGCTATGTGATTGGCACATGGTTTTAAAAAAACGACTTGGAAACAAAATCATTCTGGCCACCGATTTTCGGGTCGACGGTTCGACCATTTGGTTCAAACAGGTAGCTTGTTCTGACAAAAAATAATTAAAAATAAAAAATGGCCAAAACCGTTGAATGGGTCGATGGTTTGACCACTCGAGTCAATGGGTCATTGATTGATTCGACAGTTTTTGGCCAGAGACCAGATTTGGGGTAAAACGGAACCGGTTGCCTAGACAGTTCTCGGGCCAAACAGTCCAACTGTCCAAGTCAATAGCAGTTCGAAAACCATGGGTTGGCATATATCAATGAGACTAATAAGAAATTCTATAAGACCAACATCACGACACAGGATAGAGCGGTGGGCAATCAATAAACAATGTGTTCAAAAATGGGTGTAGTCAAAATGTGGATGTTGAGATAAATGAATGGCAATGATCAATATGGTGATGATACTATGTAATGAATTGAGATATGCTCTTCACAAAGCGAACCTCACAGCCACATCTTATCATGTATTGGTAACTTCTCCCCATGAATAACAAATAGAAATATGGGAGATGTTCCCAATGTGCGACCAGGATATGCTGTGAGGTCGGTGTAAGGTACGCTGTGTGAGAAGCACATCTGGATTCATGGGCTCAGTTACCCTTTTTCGAAAAAAAAGGAGTTTGGTGAAAGTAATAAAAAGTGATTTAAGTGCAATAAGATTTATATAAGTGACACCATTTAGTTGGGACAAAGACTTAAGGCTATGTTCGGTTTGAAAGAAAAATTAGAGAAAGGAAGGGAAAGATATGAAAACCTGTACAAGGTTTATAAAGGTTTCTCTGCCTTTTCTTTTCTTTCCCTACAATTTCCTTCAAACCAAACACAGCCTAAATGATTAGGATGGTGATGGTATGTATATTTTATTCATATAATCATGTGCCCTTTATTGACTATCAAGCCTCTCTAAATTAAAGATCTCTACCATCTAGTAGGATTGTAAGTGGATTAGTTTAAATCTGATTAAAACTCAAATATGATTCATTAATTTAATTCGCATTGGAATATCCATTTAGCTATTGATTGAATGGATTTAATAATGTGATTTGTATATTAATAAGATTGAATTCATGCATTGCTTGATCCAATCTGCTAGTATCGAGCTTCAAACTCAATTATATTTGAATTTAATATCTAAATATGTAAAATAATTTAAATCTTAGTTCTATTATCAAATCATTTTCAGTTCATGTTCTTGGCAATTTATATTCGAATGTGCCCCTATCTAAATATGATATATATCTAAATATATAAATAATGGGATTTGAATATATATTTATGATATCCCCAACGCAGCGAGGGCCGAGACCCAAGGATGATTACAATATGCAATATTAAAGGTCAACATGAAGAAACCACTTGAGTGGGCAATGTTCAAAGTATCGATATAATACACCTGTTTATAGATGTTTTCGGGAATTCTTTTTTTAAGGAATATCTATCTATCTACATACACATAAACACGCACACACTAGTCAGGACCTATGCAATGCACGGGCTTTATTTATAATCAAAATTGAAGACGGAGCCCTATGATATTTACAATTAAATGCTATGCATCTACATTCAATTCAAGTATTATTTTTTGGGGTTATAGTTTATCAAATCACAATTTAAGTTGCACTTTAGCGAGAGTGGCCAATTTTTATATTATTTTTAGGTAAAATTATTTATAAACAAAATTGAAGATGGAGCTCTATGATATTTACAATTAAATGGTGTCCATCTAAATTCAATTAAATTATTAATTTTTGGCGTTATGTATGGTTTATCA